AATAAAAATTTTAAGATTAATTAAAATAATTTTGATTTTTTATTCTTATCGTTATACTTTTTAAAATAAACATGCCAAAAAGAATTAAACAAGTTAAACATTATAGTCAGCGAAAGCATTTAAAAAAAGCCCGTAGTGCTAATAAAAAATTCAACAATGAAGATTCTAATATACCTTCTTTATCTATTATTGATACAAACACTATAGATTCTGCAACTATTAACACAACAATTGCTACTCAAACTGAAAATATTGTTAATACAATTGCCACACAAACTGAATCTACTATTAATACTGTTGCTACCCAAACTGAAAATATTGTTAATACAGTTGCTACACAAACTGAATTTTTTGTTAATACAGTTGCTACTCAAACTGAAGTTATTACTATACAATCTAATGAAATTCAAGTTGATCAAACAAATAAACTAAATTCAAAAATCCAATTACTTAATTTATTTAATCAAATTACTCAAATACTTACTTATAATCAAAAATATAATTCAAAATTACTACAAATACAGCAAACATTTTTAAATTATATTATACAAACAGATTATAATGAATTAGTATTAGCTTTTTCTTTAATACAAACTATGCGATATAAAAAAGGTCAAAATACTGGTAAGATTTTTTCAAAATATTTACAACAAAAAGCAGCAAATCATGTAGAAAATTCATTTTATCAAACAGAACATGATATTAATGAATGTAGTATTACAATAAAATCTTTAGAAGATCAAATAAATAGTTTAACTCAGCAATTAGATAAAATTAAAAGTGAAAATAAATCATTAAATGGTAAAATTGGTAAGTTTAAACAAATTCAAAAGCAGCAAATATCTAAAACTAAAAGTTATACTAAAGAAGAATTAAAAACTGCAATTAAACAACAATTAATGGAAAATAAATATCAATATACAGCAAAAACAATACAAATGGCAACAAAAGTTTGTCAAATTGGTAAAATGTCATATAGATCTGCTGTAGAATGCACTAAAGCAGTAGTTGAATGGCTTATT